TGCTCTTTAATTAAAATAGCAAAAATTAAATTCAGCACTCTTTGAGATATAAGAGTGGAGAGAGTTACCTTAAGAGCGCAGGCATGAGAGGGTTTTCGAAAAGAAGAGACCCAGATTCCTGAAAAATTAAATTAAGCGTTGTTTGAAAATATTAGTGATAGAGAGAGAGAGAGAGAGAGAGAGAGAGAGGGTTACCTTGAAAGCATTTGGGAATGAAGCACCATCAGTTTTCAGATTGAATATTTAGGCTAAAATCTTGAAAAAATAATAGTGCGAGAGAGATGGGGCCTTAAGAGTGTAGGCGTAAGAGGGTTTGGGAATGAAGATAGTTTCTAGATGGGAAAAAACGCTAGAGGGTTAGGTTAGAGAGGGCAAGAATATTGGGGGTCAGAGACGGCGAAAGAAAGATTTGGGGTACAGAGAGCGAGAGTGAGATTTGGTGAAAAAAATAATAAGATTGCAGGACGAAAATTTGGTGAAAAAAAGCGCTCATGCGAAAAAAAGAACAAAAAGTGGGGGCGGGCCACCAAAAATTGAGCGGACAAAATACTTCGCGACCAATATTATAGTAATCAGCGACCATGTTTTTTATCGCATGATTTCCGCGCCCACTCTTATATCTCCCGCCTTGTACTTAGTGACTAAAAATACAGAGTCGTCGTAGGTTCTAATATTGCGACCAAAAACTTTGGTCGCCAATACTTATTTATTTCGTGGGTAATTATCCATTGTTGAAATTTGATATTTGGAATTTGTAAGAAACTATTGGCGACCAACTCTGGAAATTTGGCTGCAAAATCACCCTATCAGCGACCAACAATAGTTCGTCGCTGATAAGTTTGGTCACAAAAGAGTAATTTGCTTGTAGTGAAAAAAGACCCTAACAAATTTAACTACTTATTGTTTTTAGTAATATGTACAAATAAATAGTTTTCTATTAATGTTATCGGTATCAATCGAGGATCAACTCTTTGAGGAGAAGATACTGGACACATATGATTGCTTGCAAATGAAGGAAGTTGAGGTTCCACCCCAAAACCAATTGGCAATGGAGGGAGTAGCCCAACTCCTTGTAAACTCACGCTAAGTCCCTTAAATTTTTAATGTGGGACAAGCGCTCTCAACTGCAAGCACATATATGCAGAGCTTCAAAATTACATATACCTTTACAAAATATAGTTGTTTCGAAGTACATATAGAACTAGCTAGTACAAAATTAATACAATAAAATTAAAAGATGTGGAGGAGAAAAAAAAAATTACAGGGTTGAGGAATTATATAATATGAATAGAAATTAATGAGAAGAGAAATCCAAAAATAAAAAATAAAAAAAATTACATCTCCATGGATGGATGGGTTATTATTTGTCAAGATGCATGTGTGTGAGTGGGCGTACGTGTAGGGTAACTCTTGAAATGAATTAATATCCAGATTGAGTCGTCAACAAACCCTTGAAATTAATATCCAATGAAGTTTTCGTCATGGCAAGCGTTGAAACCGCAACTGGCATGAACAATCGCATGGTAGTAGAAAAAGTAAAGGTTGGTTTTGTAGGTGGTAGTAGAAAAAGTAGAAAAAATTATATTAATAATTTAATATGTTTTCATCAGGTACGTTCATTCATCCCTGGCATACTGTTGTGGGTGGTTCCGTTTGGAAGAAACGGTGGTAGGACTGTGATGTCACAACCTCCTCCACTCTCTCAAGTCCAAAGCCGATTTGGTACTTGGACGAGTATGTGTCCAGTTTCAAGGTGAACCCTGGTTACTGCAATGCCCACTCAAGTCACAGTGGCTTAGTTAGGGCTAAATTTCTTGGCACTCAAGTTATACATAATTCATATGATATGTCAGATTCCAAGCCTAAAGAGATTTATCGTAAGCAAATTGTGGCATGGCTAATGGGACTTACCCTGTGCCCATGGTGTGGAAAACTTGTACCATAAGATATTACGATTTTAATATGAATCTCTAGCCATTGCCAATTGTTGAGGTTCAAAAAGTCACGAGAAACCCAAAAAAATTTAAAGCCCAATATGACGTTCAAAATAAAGGGATAAATTGGTTATGTGCTAATTCCAATTATATTTCAGGATTTAATACATCAGCATAAATATATATATGCATGTTTTTAAACAAATTGTAAGAGTATCCAGGCCATGCCAAGTAATGACACCCATGCCAAACCTATTTATTTACATTTGATATCTTTAAGTTTGATCACAAGAGGCCCAAGCCATTGCGACACATGCCCAAGCTTTCCAAGCACATGCCAAATAACTCCATGCAAGGTTAATACATTTTTCTTATGACAATCACCTACCAAGCTCACATGAACCCAAGTCATGTAGTTTACGGGGCTTGCACGAGGGGTTGTGGCATGGAAGGTTACAGAGGTCCACAAGGCCCACGAAAGCTCTTGGATAACGGAGACATTGGGCTAGCTACTTGGGAGCACTCCCTATTACTTGGAGTTCTCCAATGTGGGTGAGCAAATGAGACATTCTTCAAGCACTCTCTATTACCCACTGGAAACAAGCCAATTCTGACACTTCCTTTTACCCATAGGAAAGAGTCATTTTCTAATGCCTAACTTTACCTTCTGGAAATAATAATGTCCCAATGCTCCCTTTTACCCGTTGGAAATAGGATGGTTCCAACACTTTCTTTTACCTATTGGAAACCAAAGAGAGCCTTCACCTTCTATAAATTGGTAGGCATTGCATAGACAAACACCAACTTCTGAGTTACTGCAAGCCTCTCAGTAACCATGAGAACCCACTTCTCTGAGTGGGTGCACAACCTAGCAACCATTAGAGCACCTTCCTTCAGCTGCTGCAAGCATTCCAGCAACCATCATAGTTATTCCTCAGCCATCAACCTCTATCATTCGGCTGCTGCAACCATCCCATTGACCATCGACCCATTCTCTTGGCTGCTACAAGCTCTCAACAACCATCACAACCATGTCTCCTACTTTCTCATCAGTGAATCCATCATATTCTCTATGAAGCCTCACCAAACATAACTCCAAGCCTTTCCTTCCTCCTCATACTCTGCCAAGCTATAAACACTACAGCCTTCAAGGTTCAAGCTTTTCCTTCCATTATCCTTTTCTTGAAACTCTTAAACCACCATAGCCAGAGCTTCAGAAAACAAGTTCTCAACACCCAAACTCAAGCATATCCAACACCAAGCCAAGCACATGCATTAATTCTCATTTGCTAAACCTGTGGGTCTTTAGCTCCCACATTCCAAGCTCTCATGCCAAGTTCGTACAAGATCTATTCAACATCGGTAAATCATCTTCACCCATTTTCAAAGCTGCCAGAAACGTCAACACAAAACACCCAGCTGCTGGAAGAATAGCAGAGTACTCCCTTATGAATTGCTTCTCCTTCAGGATGATTTGGGCCTAGTTCTCA